GGTGGTGGTAAGTGGAATCCTTATAAGCAACTCCTCATCCCAGTCATCAAGGCTGACTTGTGTAATTTACAGAAATGGGGGCAGGTAAGGGTACCTGGGAAGCTTCCCAGGTGGCGCTAGTGGTAAAGAACCTGCCTGCCAATGCTGGAGACATGAGACATGGGTTCGACCCCTGGGTTGGGAAGATCCCCTGGAGGCGGGCACGGCAACCCACTCCACTCTCCTTGCCTGGAGAGTCCCATGGACAGAGGAGCCTGGTGGGCTCCAGTCCACAGGGTCACACAGAGTGGGACACGACTTAAATGACTTAGCACGCAGGCATGCAAGGGTGCCTGGCCTCAGGTTGAACATATGCCCTTTCATCTTGTATCTTCTTTCTTTTTCAGAACAGGCATTTCTGCATGCTTCACTGTTCCTTGGTACCCAAAGTAGCAGCCCTGGAAGCCTGGGCTGTGCCAAGGCCATGGTGTCTTCAGGAGCAGGACGCTCTGAGAGGAGGCACAGGCCGTGGCTTCCAGACTTGCAAGGGGCCTTCCCTTCCCCACTCTCTTTCTCAGAGAAAGATGAAACCAATGTGATATGGTATGCATACTCGCCAAATGGTTTATTTGCCATTTGCCAATGACAATATTGGATTTACACAATAAACTGGGGTGCAAAGAAAGGAAGGCTCCATTGGTTCCTAGGCAACAGCAGTCCGGCTGCCCTGTACAGGCTGGGCCAGCAGCCTGGCAGAGGGGATGCCCAGTCAGATTTCGTGCAGTGAATGGACCATGCACGATGGGGTGTCTGCTTTCCTGCGCTACCTAGAAACACCTTGGAGAAAGGCTTCTGGGGTGTTTGCTCATAACGCATCTCTTTTAAAATTCAAGATTGACGGGTTGCTTGCAGAAAGTGTTCATAGGTCAGTACCAGGAAGAAAGAAACCACACAATTTCCAGCATGCTTTGTGAATAGATCCAGAAACTGCTACACAAATAGACACAAGGCGGGGCCTAGGCAGGCAGTGACCGTTGCTCATCATGACGCTTTCAACAGATGTGTTATATACTGTCATTTCAATTTGGAAGTTTATTTTTTTTCCATTGATTTTTATACATCCAGAATATCACAAATAACCAAGGTTTTTTTTTTGCACATTCATTTACCCATAACAGAAAATGAACTTCTTAAAAAAAAATTGGAACCATGCTATTAGCTCTTTACAAAAGTGAATAAAAAGTAGCTCGTTTTTAAGTCTAAAATAAACAAAGAAAGAAGCATTTTTTTGTCTACAGTATTTAGCAAACATAAGAAAATATCCTTAGAAACACACACAAAAATTGGAAAAAAATTATTACAGGTATTAACAATATTTTATAATGAAAGCTTAAAATCTATTTACATACATAAATACAATTAACTTTGTTGATGCAACTCTTCTGGAAGGAAAAAAAAAGCCAAATGATCAGCATCAATACTGATCTGGCTAAAGGGAGAGTAAAACCCCAAAGAAAGAAATAGACCAAAAAAAAAAAAAAAAATCCCCAAAGATTGTATACTGCAGGTAAACAAAAATCATTTTGTTCAGATGTGAAAAATATTTTGTGATATCATTGTTAAACCGAGTTCTCATGTATAAAAGACTCCAAACATGTCATCCCCCAGAAAACAAAAAAACATCAAAAATTACCAGGACGGAATGTCCCAAGGAAACAGGTATTTCAAGAGAGAAATTGGCAATCCTAAATTGCAGGACATTCGAGTGAAACCATTCATTTCCTTTCTAATCAGAGCATTTCTGTTTATCTGCACAGAAACCCTAGGCAGCAGAAAGTCTGTCTCTTAACTCACTGATTGTAATTTGCCCAGGAAGGCTTCTATTGCTGCACTCGGACAGCAAGCAGATCCAAAATGTTGGCAAGCTCTCCATTCTGCTGGAAAAAACCCATAGGCAGGAGAAAGGTTGACTCACTACGCTCTTTCATGTAGAGAGGGAAAGGGCAGCTCCTCCAGTCCTGTATTTGGTGTCGGGACGGGTGTGCGTGCTGTTTCCTTATATAAAGTTGGAGAACAGAGGAGGTACCAGGAGAGAGAAAGACGGAGGTGTTAGTGGGGGCAGAGAGGAAGAAAAATGTAAGTATTTTTAGAGAGAAAAACAAAAAGAACAGAAATATGTGTCTATGTTGAACTTATAAATAAGGGCATTTACAAGCAGTAGAGATGGCTTATTTAATCTTTCTTCTTCTGGATCAATGCTCCCAGATACATCCAGTTATTACTTTATTGGCTTAAGGGTCTACTTGATGAAAGGACCACCTCAATTTACCTGAAGGCAGTAGAATGGAATTCCTCAGGGGCAGAAAATGCATTAAGTATGAGGCTTATCTCTAAAACAACGAAGGTTTAACTTTTTCTTTCTGGAGAGATTAAATACTATATATGCTGGTAATGGTCTGTGAATCTCTGAATGGCCAAACCCTTGGGTCTACAACAAAGTGACAAGCTCTCCTCACACATGGCTTTGAAAGTGAAGATTCAATGTGAGAGACTTATATGATTTCCCTTGTAGGGCATTACGTTGATTTTGAGTTGGAATATCTTCAGGTACCAGAACTGAACTGAAAAATATACTTTTCCTTCATTTTTTAATCAACATTTTGTCAGGTCAGATAAGGCAATGTGCTGAAAAGAACACAAGTTCAATTTGGGGTGAATGGGCTAATGGTCCTTTTCAGATATTAAAAAAATTGAAATCTACTGACATTTAAAGGTAATTTTGCTGCAAAAAATGTAATACAGAATAAAACATGAAAATGAGTTATGGAGGGAGAATTATGTCTAAAATGAAAATAAATAGAATATTCTGAGTTTCTCTAAGATCTGCTTTAGCTCTTTTCTAGATAAGAACGATCTGACAACACAAACTGCTTTACTCTTTAATTCTTACCAAAGTGCTACTGCATCTGTGTAAAACAAATAATCAATACATATATATATATATAAGAAAACTCAAAAACAAGTTGTTTTAAATAAGACCAGCTGTTTTGCTGCCTGCAGCCAAAGATCTTTCTAATTTGAATCCTTAAATTTATAAAATAAAAAATCAAACACTGTTCTGAAGTCCTGCTTTCAAATACTCTTCAGAGTTGACCTGAAATCATTTCAACTAATTTAAGAGGTACATTAAATAACCACCAGATCATTTTGAGCACACATATGTTAAAATCAGCAGTTAGTATTTATGAGTTGTACAACAACTGCCTTGTGACCAAATTCTCCAATAAAAATAGTGCCATAAAATTTACAGTGACATTGGATATGTTTGAATTGTAGCCATGGGCAGTGACATGAATCTTTCCTGTCATGTTGATGCACCAGCAAAAGTGCACACACCCTGCAGGGTAGGGTCTCAGCCTGGTGAGAGCAACACAAAGCTGGGTGGGGAAGGAGCAGCATGGGATGGGTCCTGCACCGGTGGGATGACACCCTCCCCACATGACTTCACTGAGGCAGGTGGAGGGAGTTTGGCTTGTTCAGGCCTGCTTCTGGGCCCACCCTATGAAAACTGACCTGGATACCTTGGCTGTCATAGGCATCCGGTCCCTTCCACTCCCAGCCTCGGGGGACAGCCACAAGCTTTCTTCTGCATCAACCAACAGGTATAGTATCAAAGAGGAATATCTCCTTGGAGCTGAACGAACATCTGAACTCTAGGTTCAGATGATCTCCTTCCTACCCCAGAATGGAGCAATTAAGGAACCCCTAAATTCATTCATTCGGTTTCCATGTGGATACCATTTCTCCACACAGCTTACTTTGGACTCATTCTGTTACAAAGCATGCCTAACATTAAGAGGCCATGGAGTGAGCAAACCCCCTAGGCAGAAAATAAATCCTCTCCAGAGGTGCAATCATTGGCATCTACCCCAACCCTCTGGAACCAGATTTGAAGGGAGGGAGTCAGGTATGAGACCCTTTGTTGAGCTTAGCAGAAAATTCCATACTTCAGATCTTTGGAGTGACCCTCAGTATCTAAAAAGCCTAATAAAAACATGGCTGCATTAGCTACTGACTCCTTTGATTAACATTAAAGGGAGTTTAATGTAAACAATATTTAGATAACCAAGTGATCACATTACCCATCCTTTTTTTCCCAACCTTCTTCAATGTGATACAATTAACTCTGGCTACTATCAAAAACAAAAAATGTAGTACTTGATATTTTTCTTAATATAAGCACATTTAAATAATAAAAAAGTATCAACACATTAAGTAAGTGTCTAAACATCAAGATACATAAATATCTAGGGATTCCTTGTGGGAATACAGTAGTTGAAAATGACCCAAAGCTGCAGCTGTTTCTCAAAAAACAACTACACCAAAAGTCCAAAAGAAAAGTTAAATAAAACTTACAGAAAAAGGAATCATATTTCTTTCATTTGTCAAAGCAAGAAAGAAGCAAAGCTCAAATTTATATATATATAAAAATAAAAAAAACCACCCCAAATGCAAATACACATTTTGCAATTTATAAGGTGCTGGAAAAGAAAATTAAAAATATGAATTAGATGCCAAACAGAATGAGTTGCATCTCTGCCCGCCCCGCCCTCCCCCCACAAAGAAAACCCCAAGTTCCATACTCTTTGGAATAAACGACTTGGTTAAAAAGTGAAGTCAAGGTTATAAAATCTTTCTTTTATTCACAGCATTGCTAAATCAGAAGCATTCACAGTTTCCCTCTGGGAATCTTCCTGTTTGCCTTAACGACGTGTCCACAGGGCGCTGAAGCGGACACCCTCAAGTTGCGTCAGGTTAGAAGAAAAAAATCTGAGACGGGCCCACAGCGGCGGCGAACTGCACGGACTTCAGAAGCGAGAGATGGCGACCGCAGGCAGTTGGCAGGGGGCGAGCAGCCCCCGTGGGGCCCTCACGGGCTTCTCCACAACGCGACGCTGGGCCCCCGACGGGCGCTTCCGGGACGACGTCCAGCGGCACGGAGCGCGCGTGCACAGCCTCACTCAGTAGGGCCGCCACACGGCCTCCTCAAGGCGCGCGGCGGGCGCCATGTTGGTGGGGGAGTTGCTGTGGCTGCCCTCGGCCTCCACCACGTCGCTCTGGTTAGGGAGGCTGGGGTTGAGCAGCGCCGAGCCGGTGGACGCGTTGGTGCAGGGCGGCAGGATGCGTGGTGGCGACCGCTCGCCGCCCACCATGGAGAACTGGTAGGAGCCGGCCGACGCGCCGTAGTACAGGTGGTAGGATGGCGAGCTGGCCTGGAACGGGCCACCTTGCGCCTGCGACGAGCCCGGGTAAGGCGGTGGCAGGTACGTGTGGTAGCGCGTGGCCGAGCCCATGGCTGACATGCCGATGCCAATGCCCGACGTGACGGGCGTTGGGGAGTAGGTGAAGGCGCCGGGGTAGTGCATGCGGGGGTCGGAGATGGAGGGCAGTGCCGGGAACTGGCGCGGGTCGCCGAAGGCCGTCAGGTCGGGCGCAGCTGCATGGTGGGCGAGAAATATCCTGAGATTAGGATTCAGGGAGGCCACGCCCCTTCCCTCACCCCACCGGCGCCCAGGAGAATTTCCCATAATGCTGCTGCCGTCCAGGGAGCGGGTATAATGAAGATGATGATACATGAGTGAGCGGGTTAGTCGCTCAGTCGTGTCCTACTTTTTGTGACCCCATGGACTGCAGCCCTCCAGGCTCCTCCGTCCATGGAATTCTCCAGGCAAGAACACTGGAGTGGGCTGTCATTTCCTTCTCCAAGGTAATATGTGATCTCATGCAATACAATAAGGTTGTAATATAATGTAATATGTAGTTATACTTGCTTAATATAAACATATTAGATATAACTGACTTAATATAAACAAATATTCCTATAACTCTGAGGTTGGTACACCCACCTGCCAGATTCACCTGCTACCAGTTTTTGTATGCCCCCAGTCTAAGAGTGTACTTTTTACTTTTCTAAATGGTTGGGGGGAAAAAAAATCAAAAGACTTTTTCCTGACTTGAAAATGATATGAAATTTAAATTTCAGTGTTCATAAATAAAGTTTTATTGAAAGGAGCCTCACTTGTTCTTTTATGTATTAACTATGACTACTTTTTAAGTCACCACTTCAGAATGGTCATGGCAGAGACTGGAGGGCCAGACTGGAGGGCTCAGAAAGTCTGAAATATTTAGTATCTGGCCCTTTGCAGAAAAAAAGTTTGCCACCTCTCTATATAATCAATATATTAATATGTCAGTATTAATGTCTTATAACAATATATGACAAAACAATATAACACTAGATGAACTACTAATATAATAGATGCATTAATAGATTAATATTAATAGAATATATATAAATATATATAACCCCCAGAGAGCTTCCCAGGTGGTGCTAGTGGTAAAGAACCCGCCTGCCAGTGCAGGAGACATGAGACACGGGTTTGATCCCTGGGCCGGGAAGATCCCTTGGGGAAAGGCTTGGCAATCCACTCCAGTATTCTTGCCTGGAAAATCCCACGGACAGAGGAGCCTGGCAGGGCTACAGTCTGTAGGGTCACAAAGAGTCGGATACAACTGAAGAGACTTACCATGCACGTATACATAATATGATACTGTCATAATACGTAATAACATTTTAATATGTTATACATAATATTTAGATTGAATCCTAGAAATCTGCCATTTCTATAGGCCTGCAATAGATAAAAATAGGCAGTTTCCTATTATTGAAGCTAACGCATGCCAGAGTAGTGGCTGGGAGTGGATGTCTGTGAACCACCAATCTCTTTCTCCTTCACATCTACCTTCAGACTAGTTCTACATTTTTAGACACAGTACAGCCTCGATTTCACATGCTTTTCTCTAATATGCACCATTTATTTGTTAACAGGAATGGCCACAGGGCCTTGACTTACCTACTTCATTTTTATACATGTTGACATTCTACCAGCAATGGCAAAGTTTGGTCTATAAAACTCATTTTGTTAGGATTATGCATTTACCCTTTCACAGACGGGCTTTGGCAGTCTTTCATTGCATCCTTCTGCCTTTCCCTTAATCACAGGCTGCCCTTGGGAAATTTTGGGGTGGGGTTTGGGTGCCAAGACAGGTTTCCTGTATCCCATAGATCAGTTTCCCAGCAGTGGCACTGTTGACATTGGGGGCCAGCCTTATGGGGCGGTGTGGGCCTGTCCTGTGCGTGGTAGCATGTTTGGCAGCATCCTTGGGTCATGCCCATCAGATGGTAGTGCCCTCACTCCCCTCACTGTAACAACCAACAAGGTCCTGACCTTCCAGATGTCCTGGGGATAGGGGTGAGAGAGGGGGCAAAAGTGCCCTTCCGCTGAGAAAACATTCCTACTGTCGATGTAGGATGGTGTCCTCGGGGAGTTTCTGTTCCTCAGAATTATTCATTAAATGACCAGGCCAGGACTGCAGTCTTTACGTCAGCAAACCCAAAAGGCATCAGCAAAGCAGAGCAGACGCAAGAACTGAATGTTTTAAAATTTATAAGTTCTCAAATCAACATACGAAATAACTCCAGGCTCAAGATGGCATGTGGCCTTGGTCCTTTTGTGTTTAGGCCCACAGAGAAGCCTGACAGAGCCAAAAGCTTGCTCTGAAAGGAAAGCTACCGGGGTGGATTAATCTGTTTTTGGACGGCTTCGGCTGTTGATCAACTTCCTCATATTTCAAGCCTATTATTCCAGCAGGGAGAGCTAGTGTTTCTCTCTCTCTCTCTCTCCCCCGCCCCCCCCCCCATGCACTCTCTAACTTTGGGGTGCCTGTGATGAGGGGATATACTCCTCATCAGAGAGGTAATTAAAGTTTATAGAAACAACCGAAGTCTGCAGCAAATCTCTCCACTAATGAGGAAACCAGAAGTCTGACTTTCAAACAAACAGTCCTGTTAATCTTTTCAAAGCGAGTCAGACATGTGGGTAGGGACAAGGCTGTAAGCTGACAGCGGCTCTCAGGCCGCCCTTCCACGGACACTCTCTCACTCATCCTGAAGCCAGGCCGCACCCCATTCCACAGGGTTTGTCCCTGCCCGCTGGGACCATCTGTGAGCAAGCCCTGTGTCACTTGTTTGTGTTCACACAGAGAGCTGTGACATGCTTGAGAGTTAACAGGAAGCTTTACTCCATTTTTCCAGTTAGATTTCTATAGTCAGGGAGAAGCATTAGGCAAACACAATCAATTTGTTGTCATCTGATGCAATACTCCGGACACAAATAAATGACTCCACCCATGATTCCTCTTGCTTCATTTGCCCTGAGACAAAAAGGTGAATCCACTGGAAAATGAATGAAAGGTCACCCTGTTTCACGACGGTGTCTGGACATGCTCCGCCAGTCTGTTCCAACTACTGTGTGGTAACCTGGTGATGGCAGCAAGTTACCGGAATCCCGAGTGAGCCCGTGATTTGTCACGGACAAGTAATGGAATGATGTTACGGTCTCAGCTGTCAGGGGAAAACAGTTCTCTCACTTGTGGGCAGAATGTCTGAAAGCTCTTAGATGCTGCTTGCGGTTCTTCTTCTGCCCAGAGAACCAGTGTCACACTACGAAAGACCATCCAACTTGCCAGTTTATCCTTTACAACACAGTGATGATGAAACAACCTCGGCCCATGAGTTAGGCTCAGATTCAAATGACCTATTCAAATACTTGTTCTCATTTTTATGTCCAGCCTGACACCCCCTACCCAAGTAAGCCCCACCAGTCATGGACAGTTCACTGCGCCCCCAGCCTTAGCTCATTTGTCTTTTCAGCTGGCCTGGCACCCCCTTATTTAAGAGCAGTGTGGGCAGAGTGGGGACCTCTGACATTCACAGGGAGCTTTTACAAGAGGAGGGTATCTGGGGATTAGGCGGTATAGGTATTTGAGTTGGAAATGTTGCCCCACTGATGGGGCTAAATATTTGCCATGACAGCTAAAAGTCTTCTGCAGCTTGACGTGGATGAAAGCAGCCTTATGCCGGGCCCCTCCCACTGCCCCCAAAGGATTAAACAGCCTGAGCAGATAATGGCTGCCTTAAAAGGATCTTTCACATGACTCAGATTAATGCTTGCTGTCTGTCGCCCAGGTTGGCAGCTAAACATTATTTAAAAAGAAAAGAAAAGGAAAAAAACCTCCAGATGACAACTCTTTTCAGACAAGGTGTGGAGTCTGTCTGCAAAGCAAAGAAAGACACAGAACGCAGGTCTCTCCTGCAGAAGGAAGCTCAGGTGAGGCTGGGGCGCTCCAAGCTAGCTGGGGGCAGGTTTCAAGGAAAGTGGGCTCTGAACTGTGACAGGCTCTCAAAGCATTGATGGGTAGAACTATGGCTGATTCTTAATGTAGAACGGAAAAACCACACAATTTGGTAAAGCAATTATCCTTCAATTAAAAAAATAAAGTGACAAAACAAATGAACAGAAAAAGAAAAGAATAACACTTGATTTGGCATTAAAAAAAAAAGCAAAAGCAGCCTCTTTTAACTATCCCAAGCCCCTCCTGCCTCCAGGCGGAAGGTGACACTCTTCAGGCCTGGACTCTGGGCTCCATTTCTCAAAGGGAGATGTGCCAAGTTGAAGAGCAGCCTCCCATCAAGCTGTTCTCTGCTGCACTGGTGAAAGCTCCCCTGGAATTCTCCTGGGTCCACCCTCCAGGACAGCGCAGGGTTAGGCTTGAGTGCCGAAATGGGACCTGGCTTTTATCTCCTTCACACCCTGGGGCAGTAAAACGCCCTTCCACGGCTCCCTGGCTAATTGAAGTCCAGGCTATTCAGAAGTATAACCGTGAGACAGGACAGGGGAGGGCGCATGTTAACTCATTCCTATAGAGAAAGAAGAAAAGAAGTCCCCCTCCCCTCTGAACTGGTCAGCAGAACAGCTGGCCCCAAGGGATAAGGTGCTGGAGATCCTGGGTGCTGACCAAGTCAGAAGACTTGTGACATACGTTCCCAGGGACAAGACCCGCAGCAGGGACACTTCTAAGGAAAACAGTCATTGCTTCAGATGTAGGCCATAGCCAGCAGAGTAGTGCCACCAAGAAGAAGAAACAATAAAAGACAGCCAATCCCAAGGGAACAGAGCTGCTGCAGCAGCAAGCCAGCGGACTTCATGATTCCTACACCAGTCCCTTAACTCCTGGGCCCAGCAGGTGCCATGAAATTCTTGGCACCAGTGGCTGAAAATAATGTGGAAACTGGGCAAGTAAGCTGGCTTCCCTATTTCACTATCACGCCCAAGAACAAGTGAAGACAGTTCTCGACCGGGGGACGGTGTCAGCCCTCGGGACATCTGGCAGCATCTGGTCATTTTTGGTTGTCATGACTGGGGGCGGGGGGTTACTGCTGGCATCTAGAGGCCAGAGACACTGATGAAGGCCTGACATTGCACAGCGCTGCCCGCCACAGTGAAGAAGAATTATCCGGCCCCAAGTGTCAGCAGTGCTGCTGTTGAGAACTGGAGCGGTATTCTGTGCAGCTCTTGAGAAGCTAAAGCATTTGGTGGAAACCTCAGGTAATCACAGTTGTCCGCAGAACACAACATCTCACAGCACTTGAAAATGACAGACGTGATGCCTTTGCCCCTTTGTCTGCCCCCTTAATCTGATATAATCTGATCCCAGGACTCAAAAAGCAAGAACAGCCGCCCTCCCCCCACCCCCCGCGCCCAACACATAGGGAGTGTGTTCGCAGGCCGCCTAAACCTGAAGTTCTCTGAAGTGTTTTCACAGTTTGGTCCATCTCCAATTTCAAAGCCCCAAACAGGGAGTTGCTTCTTTTTGCTTTCAACAAAGGAATTTTTCTCTGTAACTCCAGTTTCCCTGCCCACAAGCAAAGGTGAGTGCCAAGCCCAAAGGTCCCATAGGTTAAATGACTAATATTTAATGAGCTCGTATTAACAACAGTCATGCCAGCCACGACACCTGAGCTCTCCAGGCTGCTCCTCTGGCCTGGTGTGAGCAGCTTGTAGCTGGAAGTGTCCCACTGGGGTAGGTCTGCGTCCCGTTGCACGTGTGCCCAGCGTGCCATTCACGTGACCTGTGTGAGCTCGCCACCACAGCATGGATCATCCCATCTGAAATTCAGAAGCTGACTACTTGTGCCTTTTCTATGATTGACCCTTCAGCTCCCACCCTTGCTTGCCAAATAAAGGTGAGCACCCCAAAAGGCCCAAGGAATCCACTTTTTCCAAGTCACTCCTACCTCCACATCCACAGTCTCTGCCTCTGAGTGTCAAGGAAAATCAGTGCATGGGTGTGAGACTTAAGAGACAGACAGCGTTGTCTTTAACCGCATTGTGTCCAATTAAAAATGACTGCCCTTCCCTGCCCCCGCTTCATGCATCTTGTCTGGCCTCCAGAAACTTCCACAGCAGCCAGACTTCAAAGAGTGTATTTTTAAGCATCTTACTTGAAAGTCGACTGGAAAGCTCGGCTGAGAGGGTCGTCATACCGCTGGCCCGCCCAGGTGAGATGGGTGTGGCTGGGTGGACAGAGGGAGAGGCGATGGATCCCAGGTACTGGTAGGACTGATCGTAGGACCATGGTGGGGATGGCTGGATCTGCCTCGTATCTGCAGAGAATCGGGGAGGTCAGTGATGCATGGAGGGGGCAGGATTTGAAAAATGAAAGCATTTAGTAAAAAAAAACTCAGCTACCTTTGTTGAACTCTTAGATATGTTTGTGGCCTACTTACCAGTGTCTAGTAAACTTCCTTAAGTCCCAAGTATTTGCTTTTGTGATGACTTACCCCCCCCAAAATGATACTGATATATAATTTATGTTTAACTCTTGAAGATTTTCCTCTGCTAACTATTCCTTCAAAGGTTTTATGTAACCTCACTATCCCAGGTAGCTCAGTGGTAAAGAATCTGCCTGCCAGTGCTGGGAGATGCAGGAGATGTGGGTTCCATCCCTGGGTCAGGCAGATCCCCTGGAGGAGGGCATGGCAACCCACTCCAGTATTCTTGCCTGGAGAATCCCATGGACAGAGGAGCCTGGTGGGCTGCAGTCCACAGGGTCACTAAGAGTCGGACATGACTGAGTAACTAAGCACCCACACACAATGATGAGAGGAGCTGGTTATGCTTTCTAGGTGGAAGTGTTAATATTCAAACTGTTGATCTGCTGCACATACAGACTGCCCAGGCTTACCAATAATTACAGTTATCATTATCAGGTCATCACCCATCTCTGTACTCAGGAAGCAAAAAGAATGCAAGGGTTTGGGTCTTTTTTGGTACCTTAGACAAAACTATTCCATGGCTTTTTAATGTTTTCTGTACAGGTGATCTCTGTCCCAGGGATAATTGATAAGAAAGTCTGGCTGGGAAACTAGCAGCAAGGCCTGATCACTGTTTCACAAACCCGGCAGTGCAGAGCTGGTTCTGTCATCCCAGACTAACAGAGATGTCTTGTATTTTTTTTTTTTTTTTGTTAAGACCTCAAGTTTGCAACTTTTAAAGGGCAGAATGTTGAGCAAGTATTTTATAGACTGCCATTAAAAGAGGCCTTCCTGGGATAGAAAAGAGACAAAAATCTGACTTCAGAAGGTTTAGGTAAAAAGGATTTTGTAAATTTGACTCCAGCATTCATAGACATATTAGTTTTCAAAAGCATCATACTGTTTGCAGATGAAAGGGAGGAGAAAAAAAAAATGCCTTCTATTCTTAGATCAAATGTGTAAGAAAAGTATAAAACTGACCACTGTCCCACCACAGGAGAGCTTTACATTCTGTCTTAGGATTAAACATTAAGTTTTCTCATTGCGTCCCACCTTCTTTGTGGACAAAGGCGACAGCAAACAACACTAACTCCCAGGGGTCTTCATAGCCGCGGGTTCAGGGTGCTGGGAGTAAATACAGAAAGAGCAAAGGTCCTGAGGGAAATACCAGCTGTTAAGTTCTGTGTGTGTCGTGACATAAAGAAATGAGTTATTCCTTCTCATTAAACAGTGTCTATCTTGGCTCCCTCACTTGCCAGGGGAGCAGAATGCTGGGGCTTTTCACTTGCAGCAGTTAACCTTTCCCTCGTCTTGAATGCCTTTGAAACCATCACAGTGGAAGACAGAATCAGGCATCTGGGGACTCGAGTCTACTTTCTTATCCTTACTCTTCTCCTAACAGCCCTCGCCCCAGTTCCTCTCATACTGATCGACTTCTTTCTGTTCTTTGAAGTAACTGGCCTAGAACGAATCTGATCAGTTCTCGTGAGGTGGATGAGCTAGAGCCAGAGTGAAGGAAGTCAGAAGCATCGTATTAATAACGCGTATATATGGGATCCAGAAAAAATGGCACTGATGGACCCTATTTATAGGGCAGGAATAGAGACACGCAGAGAATGGATCTGTGGACACAGCAGGGGAAGGAGAGGGTGGGATGGACTGAGAAAGCGCTGAAACGCATCCATCACCACATGTAAAACACACAGCCCGTGCAAAGCTGCTGTGCAATGCAAGGGGCTGAGCCGAGCGCTCTGTAACAGCCGGGCTGGGTGGGATGGGGCGGAGGGTGGGAGACAGTGTGCTTAGGGCTGATCCACACTGTCGTGTGGCAGAAACCAACACAACCCTGCAAGGCAATTATCCTCCAATTAAAATTTTAAAAAAATCCTGACCTTTTAATTTTGAATGTTGAAAAACCTGGGGAAATAATTTAGAATCTTTGAAACCTAATGTTAAAGAAAGGTCTTTATTTCCATCTGAATTTGAGAGAATCTGAGGGGATGGCAAGGAATAAAGTACCAGTCCACTCCAGGCTCAGTGGAAAATACGTGCTCAACCACAGTCGAAGATCCTGCTTAATCTTAGAGCAAACAGTGCTTCCAGTAATTGAAAGCAAATAGCAACGGCAGATTGTTTGATATTCCCATATTGCTACAAGGATTTTGCTTTAAGTGAAAATAAAAATTACACCCTCAGATATTTTCTATTAAGCCATGTGTATGTCCTGGATATATACGTATTTACTAAGTGAATATATATGGTACTCAAATATTTTAATCATTTAAAAAGCAAACAAAAGAGGTTTTATAATTGTCATAAAGCCCTCTGGGTGTGAATTGCGGTACAGTAATTCATGCCCTGTTGTGTAGACAGCCCAGCACCCCTAACCCCACGTCTAAAACCACAGTAAGCATAAAGTATTATGCCATGATTCATGCTCTGTCATGTTTTACTGTAGTGAAAAAGTTGTGCTAGGCTTTTCTAAACTCATAATTAAACCATGCAAACGTTGCATAATGTTTCACAGCCTTTTAAAAATATGCTTTGGTAAAATGATCTTTATGATTAAAGTCCAGGTTCTGTGATTTTTTTTTTCTTAACACAGGGTTTCAAATTCAACATCTTCTGAGTTCACACCACAACTCAGCCTTTCAGTGCTGGGAGTGGGGTGGGAGTGGGGAATGAATGAGCAGTACTAAAAGCCCGGTGGCACATGATCAGTTTTCATATCTGTGACCACAGTGAACTGTGTTTGGCTTCATTGGCAGCGGTGGGCCAGAAGGTGGTGATGGCGAGCTTCTCATGTCAGGCGTTTTGCGTGTTTTCTTCTAAATGTTACATGGACTATTGATGAAAACAAAGCAAAACGAAGGGCCAATAATATGGTTTATGGTGAGTTTACCATTGAGTTAACCTTCTTGCCGTGATGCGGCCAACATGAATACATGAAGACAAGTATGGAAACGACAGTGCTCTGGGCACCTGAGCGCTGGGCTGGAGGCAAGAGAAGTGGCCTCTAGCCTGTCTGTGTGATGGCCTTGGATCACATGCTTACACTTTCTTATTCTCATCTCTGAAAGGAGATGATTGCTAAGCCCCTTCCAATGGTGACAGTGCAGGATCTTAATTCAAATAGGCCCCAAACAATAACTCCTTGGAGCTTCACAGGTACTGCCAGTGGTAAAGAACCCACCTGCCAGTGCAGGAGACACAAGAGACACAGCTTTGATTCCTGGCTGGGGAAGATCCCCTGGAGGAGGGCATGGCAACCCACTTCAGAATTCTGCCTGGAGAATCCCATGGACAGGAGCCTGGTGGTCCATAGTCCACAGGGTCGCAGAGAGTCCTGGACATGACTGAAACAACTTAGCACGCACACACGCATACAATACTTCTCTGCTTATATGTTAATCAGAGTTAGGGAAGGATAAGGTGGGCATGTGAGGTGAAGAACGGTGCTTGTGATAATAAATATGTATTCCAGGAAGGGGAGGTGGGATGGGGGTAAGATGGCATTGTAGAGAAAAGAAAGTCATAGGCTGAGGAAGAGAACCACTGTCAATTTTCAGAGGAGCGCTGCTTGTTCTCGAAGGGAATGCCTGTGATGGGTCAGTCCACCAAAATGAAGAAGTTTCTTGAAATGTACTATTAATACATGTGTTAATTTGTGAGTAAGACCAGTTATGTCACTGCCCCATTGGAACTTAGAGTCTGATACTGGTAAAGGTCCCAGATCTCTATGATGTCTGGAGAGTCGTTTTCTTAAATCGTATTAATCATCATGCTGAGTTACTTCATTCATTCACTCTTAGGCTCATGATGTTCCTCACTTCCTCATTCATTCATGTCGCCAGTGAACATTTTTGTTTGATTACGGCCACTGTTGTTATTGACATATTTTCAGTTTCATTGAAGAAGACAGCATGCAAAAACAGGTGGGTAATGTAAGCAGGGAAGAAATTCTAAGATGCAAAAGGAAGTTCCAGAAATGAAAAACACTGTAACAAAAATGAGAAATACCTTTGATGGGCTCTTTGACAGACTGGACATGAGTGAGAAAAGAATTTCAATGAAATTGAAAATATGTCAATAGAAACTTCCCAAACTATTGGGAAAGTGAAAGTGTGAAAGTTGCTCAGTCCTGTCCGACTCTTTGCGACCCCATGGACTATACAGTTCATGGAATTCTCCAGAGTCGGGTAGCCTTTCCCTTCTCCAGGGGATCTTCCCAACCCAGGGATTGAACCCAGGTCTCCCACATTGCAGGCGGATTCTTTACTAACTAAGCCACAAGGGAAGCCCTATTTGCCAAACTATAAGGTAAAGATAGAAAAACAGAAACAAAAATCAGAATATCCACAAACTTTGGGAGAATTTTCAAATATGTATAATATATGTGCAATAGAAATATCAGAAGGAAAAAGAGAAAAAGAAAGCAGAGTGGAAGGGATATTTGTGAACCTGACAGAATTAATGACAGCCAGCAAACCACAGATCCAGGTAACTCAGGGAACACCAATTAAGCAAAATAAATACCAAATAATTTACATCTAGGCATATATTGAAACTACAAAAAAAAACAAAAAAACCCCCCCAAAGACAAAAAGAAAATCTTGAAAGAAACCAAAATGGAAAGATGGGTGGGAGCACCTTACCCAGAGTCGAACATTGGTAAGAATTACTCCAGGTTTTGCTCCAGAAATCATGCAAGCAAAAATAGTGTGTCATAAATAAAGTGTTGAAAGAAAAAAGCTACCAACCTAGAATTCTATATTCAACAAAATTTCCTTCAAAAATGAAGGAGGAATAAAGCCATTCTCTGACAAACAAAAACGGAGCTAATTTATCTA